CAGCCGGTAAAATATTATTATTTCTTCCAGCTACCTTCTGGATCATTAATTAATTTGACTAGCAATTAGCTTTAACCAAGAAATGTGGGCTTAAAAAAAAAAGTGTGATTTTAAAAGTGCGAGAGGAAAATGCACCAGCAGGCTACCAAGAAGTAGCACTGTAAAAACAGTTTCAGAAACTTGAAGTGCTGCTGAGTACCTCCCCCGCCCCCCCCCGCCCCGGTACAGGTTCCTCATTGATGACGGTCTTTACCCGGCTGCCCACAGACACAAAATGATAAAAGGTGCACATTTATGATATGAATCAGCCATTCTTATACTAATGGACAGGTGCATGGTTTATTGTATGAAAGTCAACCCAGGCTAGCCCAATCTCATCAAATCTCAGAAGCTAAGCAGGGTCTGCCTTGGCTAGCACTTGGATGGGTGACCTCCAAGGAATACCAGGATCGTGGCACAGAGGCAATAATGGCAAACCACCTCTGAAACATCTCTTGCCTTAAAAATAAGTCAAGCTTGCCATCTAGTGGTGCATAATGCTAAAAGAGCTAGAACTTTTGCCCGTCAGACAATCTCAGGATCTCCTGGCTATACTACACACACTACCATACAATTATCATTATCATTATTATTGAAGTCAAGGCAACTGTGCATTTTCCTCGCTCTCTCTCTGCACCACAGAATGGACATAAAGTAGTTAAAACTGGATCCTGTCCAAAGAACCATAAAATGAGTTCTTGGATCCCAAGGAGACTTGTTTTTCCAAAACAACCACCTGCCCTTTCTCCCAAGCTGGATGACAAACTGATTTTGAAACTGGGCACTGGAGAGATTTCAAAGGCAAATTAGGCAATGTGTGATACAACATGGGAGTCAGCTGTAGAACCTCAAGAATTCCACTTCCCTAGTGCAAGCCCCCTGTGTAACCCTAAGCAGCTACTCTTCAGGGGCAATGAGAGTGCTTGGACCATATGTTGTCTCTTGATTTTTGTGGTGTTCATATCTAAAAAAATCTGACAAATAACCAAAGTCCTCTGAAAGTTGTACCTACTCAGAGCCCCCTAGAACCTGGATGCCTACAGGAGTTTTATGACTACAAGAACAAAGAGCCCTGCTGGATCAGACCAGTTGTCCATCTAGTCCAGCATTGTGTCTCATATAGGCGCCAACCAATTAATCTAGAGGGCCAACAACACAGCATAAAAACCAAGGCTTTCTTCTGATGTTGCCTAACAGTTCTGCTATTCAAAAATTTACTTCCTCTGAACGCAGAGGCTCCCTTTTGTCACCATAGCTAGTAACCATTGATAGGCCTATCCTCCATGAATCTGTCTAATCCTCTTTTATGTCTGTCTATGTCTGCAGACACATCACCCTGCCAACAAAAGTCCGCATGGTCAAAGCAATGGTATTCCCAGTAGTCATGTATGGCTGCGAGAGTTGGACTATAAGGAAGGCCGAGCGCCGAAGAATAGATGCTTTTGAACTATGGTGCTGGAGAAGACTCTTGAGAGTCCCTTGGACTGCAAGGAGATTGAATCAGTAAGTCCTAAAAGAAATCAACCCTGACTGTTCCCTGGAAGGCCAGATAATGAAACTGAAGCTCAAATACTTTGGCCACCCAATGAGAAGGGAGCACTCACTGGAGAAGACCCTGATGCTGGGAAAGATTGAAGGTCAAAGAAGACGGGGACGGCAAAGGATGAGATGGTTAGACATAGATGCATAGAACATGAAATTGAGCCAACTTCAGAGGACGGCGGAAGACAGGAAGGCCTGGCGTGATCTGGTCCATGGGGTCGCAAAGAGTCGGACTCGACTGTGCGACTGAACAACAACAATAAAAATGTCTGTAGCAATCACTACACTCTCTGGCAGTGAATTCCACAGTTTAAGAGGCAAGGAGCCCCAAAGCACTTCTGTGCTGCAAATCAAGTCTTCCTCACCCTGCTCTGGCTTACTTCCTCCTCAACTGAGCTGCTGTGGCCTCACCATCTGGCCTGGCCCTTCCCTGTCAAATATAGATTTGGATCCACAGGAGCATTTTTGTGGATGGATTTCCACCCATGGAATGTGACTTTATTCACTGCTCCCTCTCCCCTCCTTCTGCAATCCAAATGCTCCAGTAGATTACAGCAATACAATAAAGCATGTGCAGATCACAAACGCTTTTTCAAAAGCAGGTGCTTTTTTCTAAAATCAGAACCAAACATCTTAATAACGTGGCTAATCAGACAGAGTGAGCTTTTTTAAAACTCTTTTTTTGAAGTCCCTTTTTTAAAAAGCCAGACATGGATCAGTTCCAGTCTGTCTCTCTTGGTTTAACTGCAGTCCCTGCCAGCTATTATTGAACTTAAGAATTCAGCTTTGAAGATGATTTTTGGCTGTCTGTAAGTAATGAGATACAGTAGGCAACAGCTGGTTACAAACTCAGTTGAAAATACACGCATGATGGAAGAGCAAGCTGTGGAAAGATCCTCCACCCTGGTGAAGCCAATCCGATGGGCAAGATTCAACATCACTACAGGAAACCCAGACAGTCCACTTTGTACTTGACATCATTCTGCTGACATCGCAAAGCTGTTGAATAGCTGCCCTCCTTCCAACGTGCAACTAATCCAAACGCCTACCACCAAAATACATCTTAGTGAAGCAGATGTCTGATCTCGAGCCAAATGTCATATCAAAACCACATTTGACAAAAAGGCAGAATGAGATGGAACTGAGGGCATGATTTCCTACCTATCCCGCAGACCTCCAAGTTGGCCCCGAATGTGTCCTCCAGATGTTCATTTCCAAACCAACCCCTGCTACCATTAAACCCTTGTATTCTCTATATTCCAGCACACAGCATGTGCAAAATTAGAATAACAGTCTCTGACCTTCAGAAGAGTCCTGTTTATCATCAAGCTACCACATATTCATCTACTGCCACTTCAGAACCTTTGCTAGGCTGCAGTTGAGGAGGGCAAAATATGAACACAGTTCTGCACTGAAAACATCTTCAACTGGTGCTTTTTTGTACCCACGTTCCTGGCTTGGAACCTCACACCTAGGTGCTGCATTTCTGAGTAGCAGTAAAGTTAAATATGAGCAGCCAGTATGATGCGGCAACAAAAAAGGCTAATGCAAACTTGGGGTGTATTGACAGAGGCATAACATCTGAATCACAAGATGTCATAGTCCCACTGTACACTGCATTGGTCAGGCCGCACCTGGAGTATTGTGTGCAGTTCTGGAGGCCTCACTTCAAAAAGGCTGTGGAGAGAATGGAGTGGGTGCAGAGGAGAGTGACGAGGATGAGTGGGGGCCTGGAGACCAAGCCCTATGAGGAAAGGCTGAGGGATTTGGGAATGTTTAGTCTGGAGAAGAGGAGGTTGAGGGGGGACATGACTGCTCTCTTTAAGTATTTGAGGGGCTGTCACTTAGAGGAGGGCAGGGAGCTGTTCCTGTTGGCAGCAAAGGAAAGGACTCACAATAATGGGTTTAAATTAAGGGTGGGAAGGTACCGGCTGGATCTTAGGAAAACGTTTTTACAGGAAGAGTTGTACAACAGTGGAATCAGCTGCCTAGGGAGGTGGTGAGCTCCCCCTCATTGGCAGTCTTTAAGCAGCGTCTGGACAAATGCTTGTCAGGGATACTGTAGGCTGATCCTGCATTGAGCAGGAGGTTGGACTAGATGGCCTGTATGGCCCCTTCCAACTCAGTGATTCTATGATTTGCCAAGTGTAGCCCAGTTGCAATGAACAACCTGGCCCTTTAAGTTCTCTCACGTTATTTTTCTATGTGGATCTGCACTGATTACATGTGTCTTGCCAAATATGAAAGTGAATTGATTTAATATATATCCCTGCCTTGCAATGTAGTACAGGCCTCCAAGGAGGCTCACAAGCAAAATTAAAGCTAATCCACTGCAATAAAAGAAGCAATAATAAATATAAAGGCTTGTGCATGTTGAATTAGGTTTGCATCAAAACAATCTCCCCTCCTAACACACAAAAGCTCAGAGAATCCATTCAATTTGGCCTGTAGGCAGAAGCGATAATGAATAGAGGACTCATTTTATTTCCAACAGACTAGATGTTCCAATTAAGTTTTATATCAGTAAGCAACATTGGTTGGCTCAATTAAATAATCTTAAAGATTAAAAAGCCACACAGAAGAATTTAACATGATTCTTTTGACACCAACGACCTTTGTAGCCTGTCCCACTCACTCCACTCACAGCCCGAGTGTCAGAGGGCTTCCTTCTCTTCCTTGAGCACCGTTTAAGAAGCCACGGGTTATTAACTAGCAAGAACGGTGCACCAAAAGTCCCCCATAAAGAAACAACTATCTCAGCATTCCTAAGACAACACGTCTGGCTATGTGTTGACCTAAATAACTGCTACCTTAGATGCACCCCAGTACAGCAGTATATCCTCATGACTGCACCAGAACAGCAGTGACTTAAACAGAATGACAATAATCTGGTCTGGCAGTGATTTCTTGTGTCAACCATCATTTTATCACTTAATCTGTTGACTGTTGTTCCAATCAACACAACCGTCAGGATGAGCCTACTTTAAGATAACCTGTGATCACTAATCTCTATGCACAATAAGTATTTCCCTTCCTCAACACAGTTGCTCTTTGTGCCTGCCCCCACCAGAAATCACTTTAGGCTGCCAGAAGAAAGGTATTTAGAAATTTAATAATCATCCTAAGAATCTAAAGGTCTCCATATCATAATAATTTTGAAAAGGCAGAACCTAACCAGAATGATCCCAAAACCTCTGGCAATATAATAGCTCATATCCTCTTTCAATGGGGGTGGGGGTGGGGAAAGCAATTATGGTAGCATGAGGATTCTTGCAAGAGTTACTTGGTGTCTTAAGTGTTTCCAGATAGCCGAAGGAAGGATGCTACCTGTAGCTACTGTAGATACATAAATAAGTAGCAGAAAATCAACAAGTAGCCAAAAACCAATGTTCATGGAATGTACATGCTTAAGGACATACCTTACTATCCAATTTTTTCATGGTTACCAAATCCAAGGACTTAAGTGAGTGCCCCGTTGGAGTGATAAAGTAAAGGCAGACATGGATTCTCGTATCATGATAATTGAAGAGAGAACGCCGTATTTTTAGCTCTTCTTGTAAGTAGTTTTCAAACTGCGTGTCAATATAATCAACTATCGGCCTGTAACTAAAAACAAATTCAGTTAGGAACCTGAATGGCGTGATTGACACTTTCTGATTTCATGTACATTGAGCAACAAGGTCTTTCCTAACCATTAAGGTTTGCTCAGAGCTCAGGGGACTTTTTAGTTTTATTATTATTAGTTTAGAGCTCAGGGGCTTAAACAAAACCTTTAAAAAGACTTCAGCACTGCTAACAATATACTCCACCGGAAAGTAAGCTAAAATTCAGCACAAGATGGTGCGTGCAAGGAGCAATGCAATGGGAGACAATGTGAAAAGGGGTTTCAGGTCTCTGATACGCAACCATGTACTGAACTGGGAGACATTATAGGACAGAAAACAGCACACTGAGCTAGAGCTGCTCACTTCACTATGAGGAGCTACAACTGAGGACTTTCCAACAGTTCAACCAGTTTTGGCTGATTTATAAACTTCATTGGGTGGCCTTTGGCAGTTAGTTAGATCGTTGGCAAAATTTAATTTGCAAGGTGGTTGCTGGACCAAAATGCTTCATGGATGGAAATCAATTCTGTTTTTTCACATTCTGTGTGATCTTGAGCAGTAATGGGGATGGCTTGCTTCCAAAGGAACTGTCCTGTTGGCTCAGCAGCAGTTCCTTCGATGGAATGAATTTTCCATCTACAGGGGAGGGGAGAGAGACTTTGCACCTCCTGCTGCAGACCACAAACTGGCTCCCTGTGCTGTTCTTGGTGGTCCACTGACCTACAGAAGCACAACTAGGTGAGGTACGGAAGGCTGCAGTGACAACGAGGAAGTAGCAAAGTTCTTTTCCTCTAACACCATTTTGCTCATGCTGCTTAGGAGAAAAACCTTTGCCTAATCAGTGATGCTGCGTCTCGAGAAATTATAATCCCTCTCATTAAATTATTTATTGTGTGTGACGGTGGGAATGGAACAATCTACCCCAAAGCTAAGAAAGATAATCAACATCCCCAGGAAGCATTATAGGCTAATGACACCGGATTAGTCAATTTGTATTCCCAAAACCAAACAAATAGGAGCTTAAGTTAGATTCTATACATTGTGAGTTGTTTTCACCATATTCCTTGTTCCCTCTTCTTCTTCCCTTATATATCTTCTAATACTTTTCCCACATTGTTTTCCTATAGCTGTTCTTCTCTGTACACAGTTATCAGTACATAAAATCTTTGGATCTACAGGGGATTACAATCTGACTGTTTTGAGTTTTATTTTTGTTATTCCAATACTGGGACAGCTGTGTTTTGATTAGATATTCAGGCACTGAACAAATATCTCTGTCATCTGAACAAGTACTTGGGATTCATCAGGAGCCACCTGATAATACAGTAAACTGTATGGCAGGCACAGTTTTCCTTGAAGCTTATCCCTACAGAACGTTCCCACTGACAGTGAGAACCAATGCGAATTAGTGGGTGGGTACAGCCACATTTTTCAAAAAATGGCCAGAGACATCGTAGAATTCGAGACGATGTTGGCTTCTGTTGAACTACAAGTGCTCCTTGATTGACTCTTAATCTGCAGGCTGCTTCTGGCACTGCACTGCCAAAAAGCAATAAAGGACCCCTGATAGTTTCTCCTATTCCAAAGTTCCTTCCACCTGAGTTTCTACTCCCACAGCTAGGAGAAGTGGCAACAGCAGCCACCACCTTACCAATGAAATGGGGGCAAAACTAGCACTTAAGAAGCTGTTGGTAGAAATGGGAGAGAACATGAATGGGTGGAATCAGCTAGAAAAGCAGAAGAGCACCATCTTAAGTCCTCTGCATTCTAGTTTTTCTTCCTAGCCTATGTACAGTACAACACAGCAGTTGGAACATAATGCAACTGAGAAATCACCAATTAATATTATCCTGCACGCCTCATCCAGAGTTTCCAGGCCAGCATGAATGCTTTACGTTTTTTACAAAGTTCAATGCACATGGAAACATTTATTAAATCTGGATACCATAAACTGGTGATTGTGCTATACTTGGCCACTAAAGTGAGCTCCAGTGTATTCCAAAGCAGAATTGCATGCCAAAGCCCTGTACTCCTTCTGCACCAAACCAGAAAGTAACTTGCCTCTCGTCTTTATTTATCTGATCTCCAAACCCCACAGCATCCACAATTGTCAGCTTCAGCTGGACATTGCTTTCCTGCAGGTCATAAGTCCGTGGCCGTAGGCGGACCATGTTCTCATAGTGACTGGCTTCCTCAGTCTCGAACGTAGTATTAAAAAGAGTATTCATCAGCGTAGATTTCCCAATTCCAGTCTCACCTAAGGAATTTAAAAAACAACCTCATCAATTTTTCAGCACAAATTTCTCATGACTTCAAAACAAATTAGCTAGAAAATAGTACCGTATCACTCAAAGAATGGTCTTAATCTTGATTCCCCCGTTAACTAAACCATACTTTCTGTAAGCATAATCCCTCCATCTCTGTAAAAATGCTAATAGAAAATCCTTTTCCATCCCATCTCCTTAAAAAAATTAAGGCACTATCCTTTTTCAGCTATAACTTGTACAATAATACTTAAAACAATTTCCACTCTTAAGAAACCACAGGTTTGTATTTCTCTTCTAGAGCTCAAACTGGAAGAAAAACAAGAAAAAAACATTAGACAAAGACCTGCACAATTCCAAAAGATACAATCACTCCCTACCACACAAGGAAGCCTCCTTCATTCATCTTCTTTAGGTTACCACATATATTTATATATTTATCAATACACAATTGTCAATAGCAAGGAAACTTGTAATAATGTAATTACTGAGAGATCATCATAAACTTCTACTGAGGGTCAGGATATTTATTTATTTAGATTTCTTGACCGCCCGTCCCCGCTTATGCAGGGCTCAGGGTGGTTTACAATAAAAATATTGCTTGCCAAATCATCATCATCATCTTAATATATTCCCAATCCACACCGACCTGTTCAACAAATGGGAGAGTACCAGAAACTCCTGCTTTGGTGGTTTGTGATACAGGAATATCTTGTAAACGGAGCTGGCAGAGTTGGAAGAGCAAGTGGGAACTGAACTGGGAAATATTTGCTCTGGGCTACGACTGGCAGAAACCCAGACTTGTGAAATAGCAGAGCCGCTCTGTCAGAGAGGCAATGAGGTGTGGGGATATTTTGAAACATGAGTTAACAAACCCTTTCAAAACTGGCCCAAGTCCATTAATAACAGAGATTCTTTCAAGACATTCCAAGCTGTAGAGACACTTTAATGCTTTCCTTTTGATTTAGGGCCTCTGTCCTTAATCCCTTTTCCCCACCCACAATGCTGCATCAGCAACCTTCATGCTTAGACTTCTTGTCCAAATTTACGTAAGAACTGATCGTATTTATTTGTGATGTTAATCTGTGTTGAAGACAGAACAGGAGCAGAGGTTTGAATTTATCTTGGACCCACAAATTCAACATCAAAGCCATTCCTTTGTAATACACTGGAGAATCATCTTAGAGGTGCAGGAGAACAAGCACTAGAATCACAAGTGAAATATGAAAGCTGGCGCTCTCCTTTGTACTGATTAGTCCAATCCTATAATTCTCCCTCTCTTACCAGGTGCTGTCATAGCCAGCAACATTTGCTCACTGTTTGCTTTAGTGGAGGTGAAAAACTCTAAGAACTATGCTTATTTTGTTAAATTTAGTTAAGCAGAAAGAGGCAATGTGAAAGACTAGAGGAGATTCAAAGGTAGTAAAAAATAATAAAGAAAATTCTAATAGTAAATGTTTGTAAATAGCTACTTATATACACCTGGAATGCATAATCCCCCACCCCCCCGCCCAGTTATTAAAAAAGCACCAGAAGCACTTAGAAAAGCATCTTAATTCAAAGCTTTTAAAGTGAAGTCTTTTCTGATACTCTCAGACTGGGTTCTGCTAAATTATGAGAATGGCATATGAAATGTTTGTATCCTCTAAATCTGAAAAAGGAAATAAAACACAAATTTGGCCTTGTAGATCTGCTGATTCTCTAGAGAGCCAAGCCAGAACACATTCCCACTGTTGATAAAATGGTTGTATGTACTGATGCATCAAAAAAACAAAAAACAAAACACACACACCAAAACCTGAATTAATCATTGCTACTACAGAACTGTTCCAACCTGATTAGAATTGCCCCACCCTGAGATTAATATGTCCCTCTAAAAGCAATGAAAAACAGAGGCACCACTATCAAAATATGGGTGAGCAGGTAAGCAAGCATGTGATTGCCCACACGTATCCATGAACAGCTAATTTGGCAGGTACAAGAAAAGATCTAATTTTACAAAACAGGCTGCAACAGGGAAAGAAGCTACAGTTTGGTGTAGTGGTTAAGTGCGTGGAATCTAATCTGGGAGAACCGGGTTTGATTCCCCACTCCTCCACTTGCACCTGGCTGGATGACCTTGGGCAAATCGTAGTTCTGATAAGAGCTGTTCCTGAAAAAGAGCAGTTTCTGTCAGAGCTCTCTCAGCCCCACCTACCTCACAGGGTGTCTGTTGTGGGGAGGGGAAGGGAAAGGAGTTTGTAAGCCACTCTGAGACACCTTTGGGTAGTGAAGGGTGGGGTATAAATCCAATCTCTTCTCTTCTTCGTCTAACATTTATAGAAATCAGCAATGTGGTTTTTCCAGAAACAAGGAGTGGAATTTTCCCCTGAAAATTATCCAATACCCTAAACAGACTTTTATTTTTATTTGCATATAATAAACACATTTTAAAAGTACTTCATATTAATGGAATGGGGAATTATTAGATTTGATGATGTCACAATTTAGGTGAGGGGGGGGCTTGAGGTCAATATGGGTGGAATCTGTCCTGTGGAGCGCCAAACAGTTCTGTTCTCTCAACTGGAGCTCTGAAGTTGGGTGTCATCAGTACGCAGATGACACCAAATTCTACATTTCATTATCCAAGCCTCCAGATGCATCCGTCATGCTTCTGTACAAGTACTTTAGACTATGGTCAGATGACTACAGAACAGTAAACTGAAGCTGAATCCTACTGGTCAGGAAGGCTCATACTCGAGAGCAGGGGTGGCCAAACTGTGGCTTTCACACAGCTGGGGAAGCTAAATACCATTAGCAAACAAATATCATTGGACAAATAAATATCATCAATATCTGCTTTTACCCCTTTTGTTATTATTTTTGGCAGTCTCGTTTAATGTTAATAAAAAGCAAATTTGGTTATTTTCCAATGAAAACATGTAATATCTGTTCATGTCTTGCAGCTCTCAAACATCTGATGTTTCTTCTATGTGGCTCTTATGGTAAGCAAGTCTGGCCACCCCTGCTCTAGAGGGACTGGATCCACTTGTCCTAGATGGGAGCAGAGTTGGCTTTTTTCGGGGCAGGCTAAGAGCTGAGGTGTGCTCATGGACCCAGGCTTATTTGAAAGCAGGCTGGCACAGTGGCCACAAGCACTTTGTATCCCCTGTACCTGGTTCACCAGTTCTCTCTTTCTGAAACTCAGCTAATCTGGCCTCACTTATTCATGCTTCTGTAGCCTCGTGGCTGGATTACTGTAACATGCTCTATGTTAGGCTACCCTTGAAAACAACTCAGAAACTGCAGTCGGTCCAGAATAACTACTCTCAGGGGCTAGCCAATGGGAACTTACCTTGCCTATTTTGAAACAGCCACATTCGCTGCCAGTTTGCTCCCAAGTTCAATTCCAGGTGTCGGTTATGACTTCATGGCCTGGTACCCCACTGAGGCCCCTGTCCTCCCCAGGTCCATCCCCGACCTTCAGGAGTTTCCCAACCTGGATCTGGCAACCCTAACCCCAGCCCTCGCCAGTGGCCACAGGGAACCTGGCAACCCTACCTGGGAACCAACACAACTGAAGGATGGCCTCCTCCTCCTATATGTTCCTGTTTGCCTAGTACAGTCTTCAGGCTGCCACCTGCTGGCTGTTCCCCCACTTCAGGTGGCCTGCCTGTTGCTGACCAGCTCCCACTCTGTGGAATGGGTTTCCCGAAGAAGTGAGGGTGGCCTTCAGGAAGTGATGCAAGGCTTGCCTATTTGCCATGGCTTTTGATGGGGATATGAAAAGCGGAAATCTGGGGGAGGGGTGTATTTGGGGTTAGTTATTTTATTTTGGCTTTAAACTGCAATGCTGTTATTATTATTGTAAGCCTCCTTGAGCCAAGAGGAAAGGTGGAGTATAACTCCTTTAATAAGTAAATAAATAATTAACTAGTATTTCTCTTGTCTCGGCTAGCATGTTTGTATCACAGAAGTCATCTTTTTTCACTGATTTTAATCAACCATTACTGCAAGTTAAAATGTCTCTTAAAGACTAATCCATGAAGAACCTCCTTTGTTTTGTGTTTTACCCAAAATTCATAAGGAGGCTCTTCCTTCCCCTTGGAGACCTATCGTCTCTGGGTGTGATCCAATCCTGGAACTACTCTCCAGATATATAGGGTTCTTCCCTTAGACCTTTTGTCCCTTTGACACCATCTTATATTAGAAACACTGAGGATTGGGAGGAATACCACACATGAATGAGGACATGCACCTGTTTACAATGGATGTTGTCTCCTTATACACTAACATCCCTGAGATGGAGGCACTAACAATGAGTGAGAGTAGTGTCAATGAAAGTCATGTAGTAAAAACTGAAAGCAAGACACCCTTACACCGGAAAAAGTTGTCAATGTATGTCCCGCCCAGGAATCAAGATCACCCTCCTGAATGACCCATAAATCAAAGAAGCTCATTTGGTGAGTACACGAGAGCAGGACGTTTCAGTGGCAGCCCCACAATTATGGAACTATTTCCCCAGGAACAGGGCTATTTTGGGGCAGGAACGCACAGGACGGAGTTCCGGCTGGCTCCCAAGTTGGCCACGCCCAGCAGGAACTCATTAGTATAATAGGCCACACCCAACAGCAGAAACTCATTAGGATTGGCTACATTAGGGGTGTGTGGCCTAACATGCAAAGGAGTTCCTGCTACAAAAAAGCCCTGGGTTTTGACAACAAACTAGGTAAACAGAATAAGAAGGGAAAGGTGGGTGTGGCTGGATAACCACACTTCTGGTATCATGGGGGTGCGGCCTAATGTGCTAATGAGCTGTGCTGTCAGGGGTGTGGCCCAATATGCTAATGAGTTCCTGCTGTTGGGTGTGGCCTATTATGCTAATGAGTTCCTGCTGGGCTTTTTCTACAAAAAAAGCCCTGCCCAGGAAGATAGGCCTGGCCACCTCCCTTGCAATTTGAAGCCGCTGAAGACAGTTTAATTAAGGAGTACATTTGAATAAGCTACTAGCAGCCCTAAATTGTGGTTCTAACTTTTGGAATGGGGAACCAGCACCGAATGGGGGCAGTACTTACCTAGGGGGACTTACCAAGAGAAAGGCCCAGGCCTCGTTGCTGGCGTTGCACAGAAAGTGAGATCACACCAGCGATGTCCAGGCAACACTTTGGTATTTGGGCAAAATGACAGAAACTGGTTTTACCATAAAGCTTTGGCCCAAATACTTGTGCAATGCCAGCAATGAGGCCTAGGGCCTTTCTCTTTCTCCAGGTAAGTCACCTGCTGGCCAGCTGATCAGTATCTGGGGGGGCAGGGCCTGGTGGCAGAGGACCCCTGTCTCCACCGAGGCTCTGGCAACCTTATCTGTAAGGAAGGCAGCTAACAAATGTTTTAAATAAAGAAAAATAAATTCAGAGCACCTCCTATATAACATAACACATACATATAAAAATAAAGATTCTGTTGCAAGAACACAGATTTTAAAAAGCTTGAAAATTATCAACAGAAGGCACCATAAAACCTCAAGAAGACCCAGAAAAGCAAGCACTGTTGTTAGAAGCTGAGAAACAAACATATGCAGACAATTTAGAATTCTTGGCTTGTCCACAGACAGCCTGATCTGTGCTGAATTTTCAAGGAGCAGAGAGCAATTTTTGAATCTCAGTTGGAGCTCTTGATTGGAACAGAGAGGAAAAAGTATATTAATTATATATTCAACTTACAACCCCCCTCCATCAACATAAAACTATTTAGCATAGCTGGATTATGATGTTGCATTTGGTCATACCATGTCACCATGTGGGAGTCTACAGCCCAAGGGCTGAATCCACCCAAAGATTTCACAGAAAGTGTTGGTGGAGTGGATCTTTCCCTTTCTCATTCTCAAGCAGCCTGCTGCTGGTCCTGAAACTCTTTTCTGAGGATCAGCACAGCCTTGGCAAGTAAAGTGAGCCATGAAATGGGAGAGGTGGGACAAGATTGCTTCAGCGTCAGTAGATCACCTCTTTTTCACTCTTCTGCACACCCAAGCAGAAAAAGAAGATATTTCACTTGATTCCCACTGGTCACTGCACACCATCTCCCATCTTGGGCCTCATTTCACTTGCGAGAATCTCCCTATCCACAAAAAGAAGTTTCAGGACAAACAAGCAGCTGCTCAAGAAAGGGGAAAGGAGCTCTGACCTGGGTAGCCCAGGCAAGCCCGATCTCATCAGATCTCGGAAGCTTAGCAGGGCCAACCCTGGCAAGTATTTGGATGGGAGACCTCTTTGGAATACCAGGGCCGGGAAGCCAGAGGCAGGCTAGCAAGCCACTTCTCTGAATGTCCAGTAGGAGTCGGCAGAGGTCATCATGACTTCCAGGCACGGGCACACAGACACACACAAAAATGCAGGCAGGCAGGCAGGCAAGCAAGCAGGAAGGAAGGAAGGAAGGGGGAAATATCCACCTCCATCAAGTTCTTTCGCAAAGGTGCAGGAGAACAAAAAACATATCACTTGGGCATGCACTTCAAAATATTTTCCCCCAATAAGAGGTTAAATGAAGCTTAACTTGACAGTGCCATCAGACGAAGGCAAAAAAAAGTAGCCTTAAAATACGGGAGTGAATCTCAGCAGTGAAATTTTATCCAAAATTTTACAATACTTTATGGCAGAAATCAGTTTCCAATGTACAAAGCTTATCATTCAGGTGTTTGTTTTCTATTGAGAATGGTCAAAGGTATGCATGTCATGCACCTGCCAAAAGCCTTCTTATATGGATACTTTTTAATACAGCAAAGCTTTAAAGTATTTTTTAAAGTTCTGCCTCAGACAGAATACTTTGAGTTCTTTCCCAGCACATCAGCCATGGTTTGACAGCTGCAGCAGAGAAGCCCTCGTGCTGGTTTCCGTGTGTCATTACCCTCAACCGTGTCTTCTTTGCCATAAAAACTCTACTCACCCACACAGAGGATGTTGAAGCTGAAGCCTTGTCCCACAGATTTGCTGACAAGCTGGTCAGGAAGACTGTCAAATCCAACATGGCCCCCCAGAGAAAGATTCCGTTTCTCCTCGTTCTGTTAAAGACAATTGATACCACTTAGCAGGGGCATGGGGAGGGGGAGGTGTCAATTGAAAGGAAGTTAACAAGAGCCAGAGACTAGGGTGAAAATACAGGCCTCCTAAGAAACATTACCATTTTCCTTGGAGCACAGCAGGCTCCCTAGTCACCGAGGCAATACTACTGCTGCCCACGTAGAGGTTTATTATGTTTTTATATGCCACATTCCAGACATACTGGTAATTATAGTCAAGCATCAGAAGGAAAAGAAACCTTCCCTGATCTTAACAGGAAACTATCTTAAAGAAACAGAACTCAACTGTGAAGATCCTTTGAAAGGACAGTCAAACACAATAGGATTCAAGGACTTTCATTACGGAGTGGTAGAAAAAACAATTCCCATGTCTTATTTATCACTCCTAATCCTTTCATTTTCTAAGGGCTCCTGCTTCTCAATCATGTTAACAAAGTCGAGAGCATGTTCCCCCCCCCAAGCCCTTGATCTGTTTCCTTTAACTCTGCCATAAGCAGCTTTGTTCAATCGCACTATGGAGAGGATCACAGGTGGGGAGGCACAGTACTCTACAAGACTCGGGAACCATCTCACCTCACCATCTGTAACTACACCAGTTCTCTTGCTACATAAAATATCTTGTCCTACCCCACCCCCTTTCCCATCTCCAGGCACTTCCATCTGTTCCTTTTCCCTCAGCAAAGACAGCAAGACTGACAACCTTTAAAAGAAGCTTTGCTTACTAAATGGGTCAAACATTTCAGAATTAATGCCACAGAAAGGGAAAGAACGTGTGTCACCTAGTGCAAAAGGCCGGGTGATCCATCCAGTCCACTGGGACAGGATCAGCAAATAAGCTTTTAGCAGAAAGGTTCAACTAATACAGCAGGTACTTTGTTAACAAGCATCATTGAGGAATGGATGCGGCTGGTTAACCAAATCCACCAGTTGACAAAGCTTTACCCTACAGCAGCAAGTAGGTAGCAGCTATGCCAGGTTACTCCATTTGGCTCAAGTATATCCCAGTGGGTTGCTGTGATTGTATATTGCAGCACAACGTTTAAAAGAGGTCTTGTCTTAAAGACAAACAGTTTTATTGCAGTACAAGCTACTTATTGCTAGGGCTGCAATAAGATTCACATTATGCAGTCACAGAAACTACTGCTTCAGACTGCTGGTTTTTAAGGTATTTTATTTTGGTTCAAGCATGGAATACGTGAATGCCAAGCCACACTACACAAGAATAACCACTGCCCCCCCCAACACAGTCATTAGTCAGACTGACCTGTCCACCCCAAATGTAATTGAAGCAGTTGCATCCTCCCCTCAACCCAAAATGTTTCTGGTATAATCAAGCACCCAGTCTGGCATGCCATGCATGTAGGAGGACCACGTTAGAATGTTGGATTAAAGAGTCCTGGCTTCAAGTCTCCATTGAACCCACTGACTGACCCTGGGCCCATCACCTTCTCTCAGCCTAATCCATCTCACATTATGGTGAGAGGAAAGAAGAAGAAGAAGAGAATGGATTTATACCCTGCCCTTCACTACCCAAAGGAGTCTCACAGCGGCTTACAAACTCCTTTCCCTTCCCCTCCCCACAACAGACACCCTGTGAGGTAGGTGGGGCTGAGAGAGCACTTGACAGAAACTGCTCTTTTTCAAGGACAGCTCTTATCAGAACTAGGGCTTGCCCAAGGATATCCAGCCAGGTGCAAGTGGAGGAGTGGGGAATCAAACCCGGCTCTCCCAGATTAGAGTCCATGCACTCAACCACTACACCAAACTGTGAAGAGAACATGTATGCTGTTTGGAGGAAGGCAGTGATAAAATTGTGGGATAGATAATCAGCAAAAATCTGTTACTACTATTAGCAGCTGGCATTTCTTCAGTGTGAAATTTGCAGCAGATGCAAAATGCAGCTGCACAGAACTTAAGACTGAAAGGTTCTTTGGTCCACTGTCATACAGGAAAAACAAACTCCAGTGAAACAGCAACTGCTTCAGGCATTTATGAGCAAAGATACAAACATAGCTTCTTGGCTTCTTCCAAGCAGAACACATTGCATACCATTTTTGTTTTAATGCAGCCATGTTTTAATGCCCATGTTTCAAGATGGAAAGTCAAAGGCATTACACAGAAAGGTAGCAGAGGTGCTGCCATATCCTGAAGAAGGAGGCGGCGCAGAAGGAGGAGAAGGAGCAGGAGAGGAGGAGATTGGATTTATACCCCGTCCTTCACTCGGAGTCTCAGAGCGGCTTACAAACTCCTTTCCCTTCCCCTCCCCACAACACACACCCTGTGAGGTAGGTGGGGCTGAGAGAGCTCTGAGAGAACTGTCCTTGAGAGAACAGCTCTAACAGAACTATGGCTTGCCCAAGGTCATCCAGCAGCTGCAAGTGGAAGAGTTGGGAATCAAACCCGGTTCTCCCAAACACAGACTCTTCAGATTTACACATTTGGGAGGGGATACAGGGCTCTTTTTGTAGAAAAAGCCCAGCAGGAACTTATTAGCATATTGGGCAACACCCCTGACAGCACAGCTCATTACCACATTAGGTCACACCCACATGTTACCAGAAGTGTGGTTATCCAGCCACACCCACCTTTTGCTTGTTATTCTGTTTACCTTGTTTGTTGTCAAAACCCAGGGCTTTTTTTTGTAGCAGGAACTCCTTTGCATGTTAGGCCACACACCCCTAATGTAGCCAATCCTAATGAGTTTCTGCTGTTGGGTGTGGCCTATTATGCTAATGAGTTCCTGCTGGGCGTGGCCAACTTGGGAGCCAGCCGGAACTCCGTTCCTGTGCGTTCCTGCCCGAAAATAGCCCTGGGGATAACAATACTCCCTCTAAGTTGTGGAGTCTTGTGAGCAAAAATTCTACTTTCTGATCTACTGGCATTAAAGTTGTGAGCAAGTGATTAGGCATAAATCAGTTTGCTCTGGAGCCATCCTTCCTGAGACAAAAATGTGTGAGCCGGAGGCTAAAAAACTGAGCTAGCTCACACTAACACACTGGATACCAACTAACAAATCAGTCTGATTTATTGTGCCAGCTGTTCAGTTTTAACCCAAAGTTTCTAGTTTCACATGTAAACTTGTGTCCAAAATAACCTGTATCCAATGTGTCTTTATTCTGTGTAAAGAGCATCTTTGAAATGAATATACATTGTATGAGTCTTTATGCATTTTCCACCTTCACTGCTATGTCATAAAGCTGACCCCCAGGGCGAGGTATAAAAAAGGGACGGTTATTGACCTGTCAAACAAAATTTCCTTTAATACCTACCCTAAAAAGTAGTGTATACCACTCAGCAAAACCATGTAGGAAGCGTTTTACTGAGCTACACCATTTTGCACTTGCTTGAACATTTGCCTATGATAAAAACTTTCACCTCAGCTATGATGGCTTTCTCTGTGCATATAAGAGGGGTTTTTTGTGAGGGAGTTCTCACGGATGCAAGCACGCCCCCCAGCCTCAAGTGGTACAATCCAGAAAGAGATTTACCATCTGATTCTTGCTGATTGTGCACCTTGTAATACCATACAGCTTTATGACGCATTTGCCATCCTTTCTAGTGACGTTGGAGAGAAACATTACCACGACTAAACAGAAGCATGTGTAAAAGACAACACCAAGAACAGTTTCTGCTTCTTTACAAATCCACAAAATGACTACATGTTATTAATTATATGTGCCCTACCTTCTGGAGCTAGAAAAGAAGGAGTGAAGAGCCAAGGGATATGCAATATAATCTGGAAAATTATAATAAGTATAATATAAATCCATATACCTAGTTCCCAAGGTGCCCCCTGCATGCAGATATCTAAATCCGCACATCAGGGGCACCTGGGGGGCAGGGAGATTTTCCTGCGCACGTGGGGCAATGTCCAGGTGTGCAGAAAAATCTGAAAACTGTAAAAAAATATAGGGGGAATAATTAAATCCCCCCAAAAGTAAAAAGCCATCCCCTGGCCATGCGCA